TTTTGCTATGTTTTCCTCTTGCCAATATATAAATCTATAGAGATATATTAAAATGCAATGTACATTGTGCTTAAAGAAAATGACTTTTGCTTAATACAATACAGAGCCACTGAATGCTAACCCCATGACATGTGTGCCTCCTTGAACTACCAGATACCATTGAGAAGAGTGAGTGAATTATCGTAGGTGATTTTAATTTAGATTACTAAAACATTTCCAGGGACATAGAAGTCTGAGTTGATTAAACTTTAAACTTATCTGATTATAGCACTTATTATATTATGGTTGAAGTTACAGGAAAGTACTTCAATTGATTGGATAATTATGAATAAATAGGGAAGGATATGACTTAGAAAATGTGTTTCAATTATTTAAGTGATTACTATATGAAGCAAATTAAGAAACTGAAATTGTCTTGACACTGTATCAGATTGCCAGGCAGAAACTCTGACCATGAATAACTTCATGGTGTCTATAAGGCCATCAGTTTAGACATAGGTCTTAATTATTCTCTTAGTTTACTCTTTACTTAGTTTAAGAGATAAAAAGATAAGAATAAAAATATGAAAATGCAACTTTATAGAAGCATTTCACCAATTGGCAATTTGTGTCTAGCTCATTACCTCAGTTGTTTTTAGAGAAGTCTCCCTGCAAAAGTGCCATTAGGTGTGCTAAACAGATCTCAGAAAAGGAATCATGAAAGGTATTTTTACTGGTTCATTTGGTCTCAGACTTCTAATTCCCATCGACAGAGGGGATCTTGTCTTGTAATTTAAATACTCATAAGATGTAATTCTATCAAATCTTTTCTTTTGCTGAGGCTATGAGTAGTTGGATAAATTCCTGGCCACATACGTAGGATGTGGTAGAAGATCAAGTCAAAGGCTGCTTTTCAGATTCTAAAGCCCCCACAACCTCCCAGTTCCCAGGATGCATGCTGCCATGTCCCATTGCATCAGACTTTGATCAACTTGGAAGACTTTTTTCAGGTTCATCAAATCTTTCTAGTCACGTAACCACAGATGACTACATCTCCCATTAGAGTGAACATTTGTTACAATTGCTGAACCAAAACTGATAAATTATTATTAACCGAAGTCCATAGTTTACATGAGGGCTCACTCTATGTGTTACACATCCTATGGGTTTGCCAAATGTGTAAGGACATGTAGCCACCATTATAGTGTCATACAGAGTAGTTTCACTGCTCTAAAAATTCTGTGTTCCACCTATTCATCCCTCCTTACCCCAGACCCCTGGAAATCACTGATCATTTTGCTGTCTCCATAGTTTTACCTTCTCAAGAATGTCGTATAGTTGGAATCATGCAGTATGTATCCTTTTGAGACTGGCTTTTTTCACTTAGCAACATGCATTTCAGGTTCCTCCATGTCTTTTCATGGCTTGATAGCTCATTTATTTTTAGCACTGAATAATATTCCATTTTCTGAATGTACTACAGTTTATCCATTTGTCTACTGAAGGACATCTTGGTTGGCAATTATGAATAAAGCTGCTATAAACATCCATATGCAAGTTTTTGTGTGAACAAAGCCACACAAAATTTTCCATTCCTTTCAGTAAATACCGAGGAGTGCAATTGCTGAATCATATATAGGGATATTTTTAGTTTTATTAGAGAGAGCTAAATTGTCTTCCAAAGTGGCTGTACCATCTTGCATTCCCACTAGCAATAAATGAGAGCCCTTGTTGTCCACATCCTTGCCAACATTTGGTGTTGTAAATGTTCTGGATTTTGGCCATCCTAATAGGTATGTAGTGGTATCTTATTTTAATTTACATTTCCCTGATGATATATGATGTATGCTTATTTGCCATTTGTATATCTTCTTTGACAAGATGTCTATTAAGGTGTTTGTCCCATTTTTTAATTGGGTTGTTTGTTTTCTTATTATGCACAATCTAATTTAATGTAGTTCTCAATCTTCATAAATAAAGTCTTTTACCTTGTTTCTTGCATAACTCTCCCCTGCCTTCTCAAATAAATCACCAGGTTTGTTTTGCCAATATATTAGGATTTCTTGGATTTATGTTCATGAGTGAGGTTTGGTTTGTAACTTTCTTTTCTTGCAATGTTTTTAGCAAGCTTTGATAACGAAGTTATTATGACTTCATAAATTATATTAGATAGTGTTCACTCTGTATATTCTTTGGTAATGTTGTCCTGTAAAATCAACTTTCTGTGAGACTATGATTTTTTTTTTGTACAGGTTTTTAATTACAGACTCAGACTTTCAAGTTGTTATGGACTGTTCAGATTTATTATTTCTTCTGTATCAGTTTTTGTAAGTTTTATTTTTCTAGAAACTTAGATCTAATTCATCTCTTCTTTTTTCTTCAGCTAATATCTCCAGGAGTTGATAAGTTTTATTAGTTTTTTTTTAAGCACACAAGTTTTGGCATGGTTAATATTTTCTATTGTAACTATTATTTCTAGTTCATTAACTTCTTCTCTTCATTATCTTACATTTTCTGCTTTATTTTAATTTTCTGTGTTTTTAGACTTTCTTGAGGTGGATGTTTATCTCACTGATTTTAGTCTTTGCTAAGACATAATTTAAAATTATACATTTGTCTCTGGTTGTGTTTTATGAGTTTTGACATGCCATTTTTTATTGAAGTATAGTTGACACAATGGTACATTCATTTCAGATGTAAAACATAATGACTGGAGAAGTTTATACATTATGTTATGCCCACCAGAAGTGTAGCTACCATGTGTCACCACACAATGCTATACCACTAACTATATTCCCTGTGCTGCACCTTTCATCCCTGGGACTTATTCATTCCATCACTGGAAGGCTGAACCTCTCCCTCCCCTTCACCCATTTTGCCCATCCCCCTACACATCTCCCCTCTGGCAACCACCGGTTTGTTCTCTGTATTTATGGGTCTGTTTCTACTTTGTTCATTTGTTTTATTTTTTAGATTCCACATGTAAGTGAAATCATATGGTATTTGTCCTTCTCTGTCTGGCTTATCTCACTTAGCATAATACCCTCTAGGTCCATCCATGTTGTCACAAATGGCAAGATCTCATTCTTTTTTATGGCTGAATAATATTCCATTGTATGTATATGCCACATCTTTATTCATTCATCTACTGATGGACACTCAGACTGCTTCCGTATCTTGGAATTCTAAGGGGAGCCTTTTTCCCAACTCCTTCCACAGCCAAGGTCAAGAGAGTCATGTATTCCTATTGTCTCCCTCAAGGGTGAAAATCCTTGGTAGGAGGAGGAGTTTCAGATTCAATTAGAAGTCTCTGACTTCTTCCCTTGTTTTCACAGATTTGTTTCCTGTCTCCCTTAGGTCTGTTAAATCCCAGGTTCTGGACCTCCTAGGGTAAATGGTAAGCTAATGCCTGCTTTTAGCTCTTACATAGTTCTTTCCTCACTGGCTCAGCCATGAATTAAAAAGGGTTTAAAAAGATTTCATGCAGAATTTTAGGTGTTAGGGCTGTTCCAGGAGCAGTTTCTGTAAAGTCTAGTCAACTATATTGCTGATACACATGTCTCCCCCTTGTTATTTTATAATTTGTGATTCTAAAATGACTTGATTAACGACTATTATGCTATGGTCACATTTGTTACACACCAACCCTTCCCTGAATGCATTTGCCTAGGTGTACGTAATTTGCCTAGGTGTACGTAAGTCCAGTACAGTTTGACTAAAAGGAAGGGAAGTTCAGCCGTGATCTGGAAGTTTAGTACATTGTACACATCAAACATTTAGATTATTGATTAGATTCTTCATCACTAAGAGGTGCAGTGTTGTTGGGACACATCAAAAGTCTGCATGCCCTGACTTGCTGCTATTGTTTGAGATATAAGAATAATTCATCCATTTTGGTTTCGGCTCATCTTGTCATCTCACTGCTGCTCTATCTTTTGTTTAAAAATGCCAACCACATTTTAAAAATAGGCATTATTTTAGAATGAGAGGTTAGTATAAGAGTACAGCTAAACTATGGTGGCATATAAATCTGATGATAATCAATTCCTCTCTTAGCATATTCTCTTGAGGATGGGATCACATAGCAGAGGTCATTAATATCACCAGTCACACTGATACATTACTGAACTTTTTATTTTGGAGCATTAGGAAAAACTTGGAAACGAAAGAGTAATTTGGGGTTTGTTAGGGAGTTCACCAATGATGATTTCTGTTATAATTTATTAATCCCATTTTATCCACGTGGAATTTCAGACTATTAATCAGATGATTTACCAATATATTGAGAAATGCCATAAACTAGGAGAAAAATAGAAGCAAACATATTAGTTCTTATGAATAAACCAAGCTTCTTCCTAGGATTTTCTTCAGACAGTTTCTAAATAATGAGACGTGCCAAGTTTATAGTAGAGGGGCCCACTGCATTTATTGTTTCACTTGTTCTACAAACTGGAATAAAATGGACACTTGTTCATTAATGTCCATCCGAGGTCGACAAAGCACAAGGAACACTAGAACAAGTTTGTTATTGTTCTAAGCTCTCACTGGTGTCCACAGATATCCTTCTTGCATGAAAATGACACACAATAGTAATTCACCTTAAGAGGGTGGTTGGGGGGGATTGACTTCAGCAATGAAGACAGATTTGGTCTAAATTACTCACACCTGCCAGTTGAGTAGCCCAACACCTCTGACGACAATAACAAGAGGAATAATAATCAAACAAGCTGGTGTTGCTGTAGTGTTTTATAATTTACAAAGAGGTTTTTATTTACCTTTTTCACACTCTCCCATGAGCCCCTTGAAGTTGACAAGGGCAGGATTTTATTTTATTATTATTATTTTTAAAGATTTTATTTATTTGAAAGAGAGAGAGCGAGAGAGGGAACACAAGCAGGGGGAGTGGGAGAGGGAGAAGCAGGCTCCCCACTCAGCAGGGAGCCTGATGCGGGGCTCGATCCCAGGACCCTGAGACCATGACCTAAGTCAAAGGCAAACGCTTAACGACTGAGCCACCCAGGAACCCCAAGGGCAGGATTTTAAATTCCTCCTTTCACAAATGAGGAAACCAAGGCTTAGAGAGATTACATGACACAGCTGAGACTGAATTTCCAGTGTCTTGTTCTCCGTAGAGTGTCCTGTTGCCATTCCAGCCTGGTGATTCGGCTGTGGGAGGAGAGTCCAAACAAAACAGAGGATAGATCTTGGCCGCATGGACATGATTCCCTGACACTCTCATGTTATGAATTTCCTGAGGCCTCTCATGTTATGACTTCTGTGTGCTTAACCAATACCCTAAGCATCAATTATTTTGGAGTAAAACGAAATAAAACCAAACACATAAAATCACTTTTCCCAGGAAGTGTTTGGTGAGTGCAATGCAGGGAGGGGTTGGAAAGGTGAGAGGGTGTGGTACTTTGGGAGTTTATTCTTTTATCTTTCTTTTTCTGTTATTAATCAAGTTAATCTTGTTTCCTTGATTCTCAGTGGTATGAAGTTCTCTGGAATGTTCCTCCCATGTCATGCCTCCTTTTTTTGCCCTGCTCTTGATTCGCATTGGATGGAGGTGGTTAATATCCTGGAGCCTGGTGAAGTGCCAAAGAGCATTTCTCGAAGAAACCTGAGCAAAGTGATGTGAATGTTTGACAGCTTTTCTTTCACGTGTATGAAGACCTGAATGCTCCTGGAAGCCACTTTCCTAAGCCCTCTCCAGGTTTTGCCATGCAGGTCCATGTCCATATGGAAACCGGCTTCCTGAAACATGAATTGAGGAATTGTCCAGTAGAGAGATTCAGAAGGGCAAGAGAAGACAGTGCCCTGAGGTTTGTCAGATTGTTGATGTGACAGGTTTGGACCAAATGTTTCTAGTTTCATTGCATTTTATTGTATTGGAGGGTCTTTTTTTTTTTTTTTTTTTAAATAATGGGTGCTTTTCTTTTTCAACTACTCTATCCAACCTGTCACAAGCCCTGTATGGCCCACCTTTTCAATAGTATATCTCCATTCCTCTCTCTGTGATCCCACTACCTTGCCTGGTTCAAGCTTGAGCACTTCTCAAATACACTAATCCATCAACTTTCTATCCAGTCTTTCTGCCTCCATTTTGGTCCCCACCCCCACTCGCCCTTCATGGTGCTGTCTGAGAGATATTGTTAAAAAATGCCATGCTCATCACGGCACTCCTTATGTAGGCTCTTTCACTGTTGTCTTATGCTTTTCACTAGTTTAGCACAGAAGACTTTCCAGATGTTGGCTCTTACCTCCTCCATAGCCTCGTTTTTCATTCAAGTACCCTTTGTGTAGCCAAACTAAACCACTTGCAGTTGTCTGAAAGTGTCATGGTATCCCAGAGAACTTACTTTAATCCTTCATCAGTTATTTTAATCCCTACCGCCACCCAGATGTTGAACTGATTCGAGAGCTTCCAGACAGTCAAGAGATGATGTGGCAGGATGACGTCCTCAGCTCCTGCCTGCTTGTGCGAAGGGACCATCCACGGGATGCGATCGAGGGGCAAGCATGTTCCCTCTCCCTCCTTCTGCTGTCAGTGAATGCAACCGTGCCTGAGTATCGTCTCCCGCGATAGTCCTTGTCCCATTAAGGTGTCTTCAAATGTCAAAGACAACAAGAGAGTAAGTGGCCACAAAGAGGTTTAAATCTATTCTTTAGAAAACTGAACCATGGGGCGCCTGGGTGGCTCAGTCGTTAGACGTCTGCCTTCGGCTCAGGTCGTGATCCCGGGGTCCTGGGATGGAGCCCCGCATTGGGCTCCCTGCTCGGTGGGGAGCCAGCTTCTCCCTCTGCCCGCTGCTCCCCCTGCTTGTGTTCCCTCTCTCACTGTGTCTCTCTCTGTCAAATAAATAAATAAAATCTTTAAAAAAAGGAAAGAAAACTGAACCAGAGGTTCCTTTTCAAAGGAGCTTTCCCTCAGGCCACACAGTTAATGGTGACAGCTCGGCTGGAACCCAGGGCTCTTGGCCTGCGGTTCTGTGTTTCCTGTGCTGTGACTGCTGCCAGTTAGGTCATTCCCAGCCCCCCTGTGGGGGTGACTAGCGCACTTGCCCAGGTGCAGATGCCTGCGCCCTGCCCTCAGTCATTCTGGGCCAGCAGGTCTCTGTGGACGTGGGAAGCGCCACGTTCTGCCATCCCCTGGGGCATCGTGATGCAGGATAGAGAGGAAAGGCTAAGCTCATCAGAGCGCAGCCATTCCCTTTCTCAGGGAACTTGGGAGTCTGTGGGGAGACCTAAGTCTGCCAGTGAGGCTTGTATGAGAGGGGAATGTTGGAGGGGGCCGGAGATGTAATCTGCTGCCTTGTGCTTCTTATAGAAAGTGTTAGTTATCTTTAAAAGGAACAGAATTAGGCTCTTGAAATGTACCCTCTACTTAAGAAACAGTAACCGCCATAAGTAGATCTGAGAGGAATATCAGACCAATGCCTGAGGGGGGTGAGGGATGGCCCACTGAGGGCTCAGTCAGTTCTCCCTCCCCCACAGGGTACTGCTCCCGTGCATGGCCCTTGGACTTTCACCAGTTAGTCATACTGTGGGGAACAGATGTTGGTCCCTTTCCCAAGCCTCTGTGGTTGGGGCTATTTGTGGCTTGGCCCTGGATTTCCTGGTACGTTATCCACAAAGGGCATCAAGAAGGGAGTGGTAGCTTATCACTTAGCACAGGCTTTATGCTGCAGAATTTCCCGATACTGCTAAAAAATGGTTCCTCTTTCTTCTAACTAAAGGATTTTTTTTTTTTTGGGGGGGGGGAGACTGGATTGTGTTCAAATTAAGTAGAAAACTTTCTTAAATCATTGTTTATAGACTAGAGGGGGCCTTTTGGGGGCAGAAGTTTGGTACTACTTGTCTGGACCCCTTGGGATCGACGCCGAGCCAGTGCCTTACTGAGCATTTGTGAAGCATAGTTTTCCTTGCAGGAGTGATCCTTTGGTTCCTAACACTGAAGGCTGGATGAATTTACGCTGAGGGGACCTTAATGAAAATCTGATCTAACCTTTATAATATTTTATAAGTGAGGAAAGGAAGGCCAAGCATGAGATGCTAGAGTAGGAGTGGATTGGGTGCCTATGAATAGAGGGAGCTCTGGACAGGAAGAGAGGGGGCAGGTTACATTTCAAGGCATTTGTGATTCTCTGATGAACCAACCTCCCAGGCTTGCCTCTCTGGGGTCTGTAGGCCCATAAGATACTGACATATCACTGGATGGGTTGGTTCTGAGATTCTTGGGTTTTAAATCCAGGTGATCTCCTATTGCCTTTCTGAGCACCTTAATTTGATCTCCTGTTTGTTTCACAAACAAGTGATGTAGAGAAGGGGGGGGGGACCCTTGATTTCGAAGGGCAGCAATCCCGGGCACATTCATGACTCACTTCTTTTAGAGAGAGGAGGTTGAGGTTTTAGCTAATAGGGGTATCATCTCTTCTTCACAGAGAAAGGATCCTCGTTTCAATTTATCTTGGGTTTCAGTGATAGCATGTATGCATGTATGTAGATACATATAATAGATGTTTGTATATGTAAATATGTGTGTTTATAGTAGATAGATGGTGCCTGTATATGTGTACTAACAGTGTCTGTCTGTCCTAAAGTTGTGGATGTTGCCTGATTTTACAGCATTAGTGTCTCCTGGCATCTCAGCTGAGGATTCCCCACTTTAGATTTCAATGCAGTGGGACCTGACTCTCTCCAACCCCTCAGTGACTCTTCAGGCAAGAACAATGGTGGGTATAGGTGGATTGGACACCAGCGCTGACTTAGATGGGGATCCGTTACAAAGTATGCCAAAAGGATAATTTTGACACTCCATCCTTCATTACAACATTTTCTCTCTTTATTAAAAGAACAGGGTAAACTAAGTCTGCAATGCTATATCCTTTAACACCTTTTCCCTTTTCCCCTCATTTTCCTTTTTATTTCAAATTAATTTTGGTCTTAGAGCTCAGACTCTTCCCAGGGGCTGGGCACTCAGACCTGACTTACCTGTGCAGGTCACAGCATTCCCGAGCTATTCCTCTCTATTTCCTAATCGCACTCCCTTAATTCTCCCACCATTTGTGCCTGCCTTGCCTTCCGGTCTCCTTGACTCCACCCTCCACTCCTTAAAAAGCAAAGCCCTCCAAGACTGTTCTACATGAAATAACAATCCCTTACCTCCCCTTCCTCAGCACCCGATTCTCCTTTCCTGCTCATTTTTTTTGGTATCACCACTCTCTTCATCAGTTTGATTATTGTCTAGCTGGTTCCACTAGAGATTGAACTCTGTAAGGATAGGGATTTTCATGTGTTTTGTTTACTGCTGTGTCCGTAGCCCCTAGAAGACTATCTGATGCACAGTCATTGCTGAAAAAAAAATGTTTGTTGAGTGAATGAAATGTGGGGGCAGGTGAAATACTTAAAGTACGGCTGGAGCAAAGGAAAAAGAAACACATAGACAGAAGCTTAGCATCTCCTCTTCTGTCCCTGGCTTTTCAGCGCTCCTAGATCCCATCTTCTAAGACATGGGACCAGAGTCTGTGTTAGACAAATAGGTTAAGGACAAAAAGGCAGTGGGTGTTATACGGTCTCTTGTAACCAGGAAACACAGGGCTGGGGCTGGGGATGCAAAACAGCCCCAGATCCGTGGCTCTCTAGCTTTTTTTCTCAGCTTCTACAGTACTTCTTGGCTTCGTTTGTTCTTCCAGTGCCCTCACATGGCAGAGGACACGGCTACTGGAAGCTCTAAAATAGTATCTTTAGGGGCACCTGACTGGCTGAGTCAGTAGAATATGCGACTCTTGATCTTGGGGTGGTGAGTTCAAGCCCCATGTTGGGTGTAGAAGCTATAACTAACTAACTAACTAACTAACTAACTAATAAATAAATAATAAAATATTACCTTACAGCTCTCAATCAAGGGGAAAGAAAGAATATTTTTCTCACTGTCTGCATATAAAATTCTAGAAAGTAACTCCATTTACTCTAACTTGACCAACTCCTCCAACTAGGGTTTAGAACCAGTTCAAGCTCCTCTGCTCGCCGCACGACAGGCCAGTAAGTCGAGAGGCAAGATGTTGGGGTAGGAAAGTGAGTTTATGTGGAAAGCCAGCACACTGAGACTGGAGACTATTGTCCCCAAAAACCACTTCCCCTCAGCGTGAAATTTAAGCTTCTGTAACATCAGCAAAAGGGGGAAGCGGGAGAGGATTGAGTCAATAGATGACTGACTTCTGTCGACATCCGAGGAAGGTCATGTAACTTCTTTGTCCTTGGTCAATTGATCTTTGTGTACAGGGATCTGGCCTTGTTGTTCCTGTTAATCTTAGACAAAACATAGTCCTATCTGTATGTACTTCCTTATCTTCCCAAGAGAGGTAGGTTTGGGGCAAAAAAGCAGTTTTTACAAATCTTAGCTGTAAGCAAAATTCCTTCAATTATTAACGTGCCTACGTGGAGGGCATATCAGAAGCTTCTAAGCTGTAGGTCCCAGCACCAAGGGAAATAGAGGCAATGTGAAGTCAGACATGCTAAGTTTCTCCCTGTTACAGATCTAAGCTCCAAGAAAGCAGGAACTTTTTCACTTTTGCTCACTGCTGAATTTCAAGATTCTAGAGTAGCTCATGGCACAAAGTAGGTGCTCAATAATTATTGAAGGGATGAACGACTTACTCTGACAGGAGCAGGATGCTAACTAGCAGCTGAACTATAAACAGATGAAATGAGGCCACTGTTGTTACCCCCACCCTCCACCAAAAATATTGAATAGACCAAGAGAGGAAGGGATGCTGGGTAGCTAAAACATTAGGCAGCCACCTTTGAGTCTAAAAGTCTTTATGATTGTTTTTTCAATCAGAAGTAGTAATTTTCCCTTTTAATCTTAGAGTCCCCTTCTGGGAAAGCTTTGATTGATGGGATTAAGGGTTAACGTTGAAACAAACCGTGGTCATCTTCTAGGTATTAGCATGGCGGGAGAAAAATGCCATTTTTCTAGTTACAAAATTTTTGCAGAAATAAAAGGATTAAATGTGTGAAGGGACTAAAGAATGAATACATAGGCATACCTAAATCATTTTAGAAGTTGGTTAACAATATCACACCTGATTTTATTAAAAATTTAAAAGTAAAAAGGCGTATATGTGGTACATTTTCATAGATTAAAGGAAGGGAATGTCCTTCATGGACAACTCAACAACATTTACTAAAAATCTCTAAAATTGTTTGTATTTTTTGATTAGCGAAACAAGTTTTTCTAAAAATCTCTCCTAGGGAAATAAGAAATGTGCAAAAAATTTATGTCAAGTCACAATTACAGTTACTTATAAAAGGAAAAGAAACCCCCACAACTTCTAAAAAACAGGAATTAGCTAATCTGTGGTATATTCATATATAAAATAAGACAAAAATCATGTTTCAGGATACCAATAACATAGAAAATTGTTCCTGGGATATTGTTAATTGAAAAAAGCATGATTGGAGGGGCATCTGGGTAGCTCAGTTAAACACCTGCCTTCGGCTCAGGTCATGATGCCAGGGTCCTGGGATCGAGTCCCACCATCAGGCTCCCTGCTCTGCGGGAAGCCTGCTTCTCCCTCTCCCACTCCCCCTGCTTGTGTTCCCTCTCTCACTGTGTCTCTCTCTGTCAAATAAATAAATAAAATCTTTAAAAAAAATTTTTTTTTAATTTCAAAAAAAAAAAGAAAGAAAAAAGCATGATTGGAGATCACGATGTGGAGCATGATTCCAACTTTATTTAAAAAACTATCATTTGAACAGTGTGGTTCTCTTGACATAAAAGATTTAAATTATTCCTGGTGGATTTTATTTTCTTCTTTGTGCTTTTCTGTGAATTTTGAATTTTTACGGGGAACACATATTTCTTTTGTAACAACATTAAATATAAAAAGACCTTCACATTTTTTGTTTGTAATTTTCCCAATATTCTTTGTATATAGAGCTTAAATAGCTAACCAGTTATATTTGACGTGCTGAAATTTACACTGAGGTATTTGGAAATGCATGTATCCTGTGGACCTTTTCTTTTCTCTGGCTGGAGGAATTTGGATCCTGTAGCTTTCATTTCTGCCGTAAGTGCACATGTTTCCACTTCTCAAATGATCTGCACTGAAATTCCCTGCAAGAAAAAAGTGTCTAGGAGTTATTGCAGAGAACCCACAGTAAACATTTCTGGATGTGAAACAGACATGTGCATTTGCTTTCTCTTATAAAATCTACCACCAATGGGTTGCTGGCAAGCCCTGTGAACAGCTGGAGGGTGGGATTTCTGCATAGAATTAGAACAATGTGGGAGGAATGGAAAAGGTGATTTTAAGAGGACTAATTAATTAAAGGAATAGCAGAATGGTGTGAGGCAGGTGGGAAATCAGGAACATTTCTTGTTTTCATGCAAACAAGCTTGGGGGGAAAAAAGACAGAAAAATAAATAGAAGCTGAAGCAAATCCACTGTATTACTCAAGAAAATGTGTTCCTAAATCTGTCTTCAGTGTGCCAAAGTGATTCCACAGGTCCAAAATGTTTTACTCTTTAATTCAAGCCAAAGAAAACACTTGGTATTGCTCCTGATCCATTTTTTTTTTTTACTGTTTTGTTCTTAAAGTACAACTTTTAGAGTGTCTTGTTGATGTTAATGGTTCTGCGTTTGTATAACAAAAAGTTGACAGAAAAATATGTTGTTTACCTTGAGAGGAACAAAGCAGTCAGAAAAAAATTATAGAGAAGGATTAGTCACTCAAGAAGTAATGTAGATTTAAATAAGTAAGAGTTGAAGCAAAAATCTTTAGGATTTTAATCACCCTAATTTTATAAGAATTTACCATAGTTTCAGCAAGGAAGCTCAAACTTAAGACATTATTTAAAAAAAGGTTCTTATGGATAACTACCTTAAAGAAACAATAATATGGGAAGATTACTTTGCTCAGAATAGTTGAAAAGTTGGAAAACTTTGTCTAATAATAGAGCAACGGTTATATGATATGTTGTCATATATTCACTGACTGTAATAGGATAAAAATATTAAAATGATGGTTATAAACACTCTGCAGCAGCATATAAGTATTTATGCCCTAATGCTCATTAAAAACTATATATAGATACAGATATGTGGCATATTAAAAAAATTAAGGAAGGAAACACTCTAGTATATGCTCCATTCCATTATTTTCATTTTCCTATGCATGCTAATAATATCACTTAGGATAGGGGTGTTATATTTTTCATTTTCCAAAATTTCTATACTGTGATTATATGAAAAATAATTTTTAAAAAATTCACTCATGTTCAGGGCACCTCAGGTGGCTCAGTGAGTTGAGTGTCCGACTCTTGATTTTGGCTCGGGTCATGATCTCAGGGTCATGGGATTAAGCCCTGTGTCGGGCTCCATGCTGGGCATGGAGCCTGCTTCGGATTCTCTCTCCCTCTCCCTGTGCCCCTCCACCCCCCACCCCTCAAAAAAAATTCACTCATGCTTATCCCAAGACTTAAAAAAACAAAAACCCACACAAACTGATCTGAGTCGGTTCCCTCCAAGAATCTTTCTAAGGTTAAGCTGACTTCATGTTAATTTTCTTATTTTATAAAACATGACAGAAAGTATAAAGTTCATTATATTTTTGCATTGGCATGGAATATATTATTCCCCAGGAGTCTACATATCTTTTAAGGCACAGACATTTCTTCTACGTAGGATTAGATGAGGTAATGCATTTGGAAATTATTAAAAAAAATAATATTATTGAATTGAAAGCTAATATTATCACCCACATCTCTATTATCCATGGCACAGAGTTGTGAAGACAATAGACACATGCTCATAAATGCGTATTATATGGATCAGTGAACTCATAAGGACTAGTGGCACCTGAGTCAAAAGATGGTCTTCCATGACTGCTTAAAGACTGGATAACCTTAAGTGACAATCACATTAAAAGTTGTCTGGAGGGGGATACAAGTATCTCCCCAAATCCAAATTTATGTCTGGTTTAAATGGAGTTGAAAGGAATGTCAGAGGAAGCTTGTATTGAAACAAGGACCCAAAAGGCAGTCTAAGGGCGCCATGGAAGGCTCAGAGGTTAGATCTGCTTACCTAGGTCAGGAGATTGGAGGGAAAGGGTACAATGCGCTCAGAGGAGTCTCAATTCTGTAATTATTTTTATTTAGTAGTACCGGGAAGAGCAAAGCCCTCCGCAGGCCAGATCCATGAGGAAATACCAATGCTGTCCATCATCCGGGGCCTCTCCCTGCTCACCTGCAAAGGCTGCAACCAAGAGTCCTCAGTTGGCTACAAGTAGAATTGGGGTAACTATCTGGATAAGCTGGATTTTAATTTTTGTTCGTTTGTTTAGGATAAAGAATCTTCCTGCCTTGATAGGATTCACTGGACTATTTGAAAACTGTGACAGCTGGGTAAGGTTGAGACACAAGCTGGCCTATCTGAAAAACTTAGTTTAATTAGTGAGTAAAAGCAAACCTCACCTTAAGCAGCAAACCTAGAATTTACAAAAAGTCAAACATTTGTTGAAGAAATGATCCTTTGTCAATAGATGTGAGGCCACATTTCCCCCTTAGTTTTTTTATTTCAATATTTTTTTGAGAGAGGGAGAGGGAGAGTGCCCATGAGTGGGGGGAGGGGCAGGGCAGAGAGAGAGATAGAGAGAGAGAGAGAGAGAGAGAGAGAGAGAATCTCATGCAGACTCCCCACTGAGCCCTGCGGTGTGGGCTCGATCTCATGACCCTGAGATCATGACCTGAGCCAAAATCAAGGGTCAGATGCTCAATCCACTGAGCCACCCAGGAGCCCCACATTTCCCCTTGGTAACCAAATTTGACTGCCTGTAGAAATTCCAGAACACTTACGTATTTTCTGGGATTCCCTGGGAAATGCTCATAGTACAGAAATCGGTCACAGTTGTTGCCACTTCGGCCATCTAACTGCTGCTCTCTGTCCTCTGCCAGTTCATCTTTTGCCAACTCCTCTGAATCCCGCTGTTTCCCTGGATCTCGTCCCCCTGTAGCTGGATGCCTCTTGACTATTTTCCCCCAGGTGGGCACAGTCACGCCCTTTAATCCCCCCATAATTGCCTGTTAGATGGTTCAAAGCTTTATGAAAGTTTGGGGGTTTCAGAAGAAAGTAATAGCAAAGAGAACGCAAAAAGAATTTTAGTTATGGCAGCCTTCAAAGCCCCTTGGTGAGGTCATCGACAAGGTGTATCTCTTTCCCCAGCTCCCCTTCCAGTCCAGCCCCCAGCCTGCTGCTTAACCAACCCCAGGGCGGTGCCCTCAAGCACATCTCTCTTACCCCCAAACCCAAAGACCCCCCCAAATCCATGTTTCCCCACCTCCTTCAAGGATGACTAGGAATATTCATTCCCTAGAGAGACGAGGCCACAAGAATAAGGTTTTTGTGGTGTCTCTCTTGATGGGATGGGGGTCCCCAAATGTGGGGCAACCCAATTGGGTGGAAGCCAATTGGCAGTGGCAGTGAAAGGATTCGCCCAAGACAGAACAAAGGAGAAAGAAGTTTATTGAATATACCCCAAGGGAGGGGTAGGCAGGACAGCAAAGGAGAGACTGTCGGTTCGGGGAAGGGGGGTGATGAGGGGCCACAGTTACAGGGCGGAGTGGGGGAGTATGGGGGAACGTATGGAATTTTCCCTTTTTGGTAATCTTAGGAACTGTGCCTGGTTGTACTTGGTCAGTCAGGGCCTATGGCTATTTTGAGGTGGGTCCCTTCATGAGCCAGTTTGCATTTAGCTCCGTGGTCGCTGTGGGCCCTTTGAACTTGATCAAGTTTCCATGGCTCAAGCCTGTTGCCTAAAAGTGGCCTCTACAATTTTCTCTGAAGGCTCTAGAATACATCAGAACTCTGAAGTTTAACAATACACATTTTCCTAAATCAGGGTGTTTCACTGTTCATGACACCAATTGTAGAATAAAGCCCCCAGGCCCGGGATGGACTGCAGCAGTCCCAGCCTGTTCTTGTTTACATTCTCTGTGGCCTGCTGGCGGGTGAGGGAACATCAGGCCTCTCTCGGATGCTGGCTCGTTCCGCCCCATCTCTGTCAGACACACATTCCTGTGCCATGTGCGCTCATGTGTAGACTAGGACGTTACAATTCCACATTTAGGAAGAAACATTTCTCTGTTGGCTACATAAACTGTAGAAACCTAGATCTCTTTTTAAAAAAATCTGCCCATGGGCGCCTGGGTGGCTCCGTTGGTTAGGCGACTGCCTTCGGCTCAGGTCATGATCCTGGAGTCCCGGGATCGAGTCCCACGTCGGGCTCCCTGCTCGGCGGGGAGCCTGCTCCTCCCTGTGACCCTCCCCCCTCTCATGTGTGTGCTTGCTGTCTCTCAAATAAATAAATCTTTTAAAAAAAATAAATAAAATAAAAAAATCTGCCCAACTTACATTTCTAAATGGAACCTTTGGCTTCAGATGGAACGGAGTGCATCTGGGTTTGCATTCTAGTTGCACCCCAGGGCTATGGGTGGGTATTGTATAACCCTAGGACCCACTCCAGTCGCTTTTCACAGAGCAAGAGCACTTACCCCTCAAAGCAAACCCAAGCCACCACCTTTGAAGAGAGAATCTGCTTGCAACTTTTCCAGCTTGAAAATAAAACATATTAAGGAAAAGCTATGAAGAAAGACTGGCCCTACCAGATATTGAAATGCATAATAAAGTTAGAGTAATTAAATCAGCTTATAATCAAGGTAGAAATAGCAAATCAATGAAACAGATTAGAGTCTAGAAATAACTTGCATATGTTTTGAATTTGACATGTAGGATAGTATTTGGAATTAAAAAGCCAAAATTAGATTGTGTAATAAATTATATTTGGGCAAGTGGAAGTTTGGGAACAATATATAGTTGGTTCTTTACCTCATGTCTTACACCAAAATAAATTCTAAATGATTAAAACATTTACACAAAGAATTAAGTAATAATAGTGCTGGAAGAAAATACCAGTAATTTTAAAAAATTGGAGTGGGGAAACGCTTGGGGTCTGACAAAACCCAGATGTTCTGTTTTAAAAAATATGAAAACTTCAGTATTGTAATAATACTATAAACAAAATACAAACAATTCAAAGGACGAAGTAGGGAAAAATGTGACTGTATATGATAAAGACATAGTAATTTCATATATATATGGATATATTCTTACAGATCAAGAAAAGTAAATGAACAACCCCAAAGAAAACGACTTAAGGATGTGAATAAATAATTCATGAAGGAAATGTGTTTCTGGGTATGTATCTGTGTGTGTACAAATAGAGCTTTATAAATGAACACTTAGGATTTATAATGAGTGGGTATATTCCCAATTTTACTCATAATTAAAGAAGTGAAAATTTAGTAAAACAATAAAATGCTATTTTCTTTCTTTCTTTTTTTTTAAGGTTTTATTTATTTACTGGACAGAGAGGGACATAGCGAGAGAGGGAACACAAGCAGAGGGAGTGGGAGAGGGAGAAGCAGGCTTCCCGTGGAGCAGGGAGCCCGATGCGGGGCTCGATCCCAGGACCCTGGGATCATGACCTGAGCTGAAGGCAGACGCTTACTGACTGAGCCACCCAGGTGCCCCAAAATATCATTTTCATCTACTGGTAAATACTGTGTGTTGGCAAGGATGTGGAAAACCCAACATTTCCTTTCAATTATTGTTGAGAGCAATATGATTTCATCTATCTAAATTTATAATGTACATCCTTTTTAAGCCAAGGATTCCACTTCTAAGATATGCTTGCACAGGGGCGCCTGGGTGGCTGAGTCGGTTAAGTGTCTGCCTTCAGCTCAGGTCATGATCCCAGGGTCCTGGGATCGAGTGCCACGTCACGTTTCCTGCTTGACAGGGAGTCTGCTTCTCTCTCTCTCTCTCTCTTTCTCCCCCCCCCCCCCTTTCCCCCCTCCTCCTTTCCCCCCCCTCTAAAAAAAAAAAAAAAATTTTCAAAAAAAAAAATAAAAAAAAAAAAAGATATGCTGGGGCACCTGGGTGGCTCAGTCATTGCTTAACGACCTGCCTTTGGCTCAGGTCATGATCCCAGGGTCCTGGGATCGAGCCCCGCATGGGGCTCCTTGCTCAGCGGGAAGCCTGCTTCTCCCTCTCCCACTCCTCCTGCTGTGTGCCCTCTCTCGCTGTGTCTCTCTCTGTCAGATAAATAACTAAAAAATCTCTTCCAATAAAAGATATACTTGCACAGGTACACAAAGATATATGTACAAATAATTTAACTGCAACATGGCTTGTAATAACAAACAACTGGAAGTTACCTAATGGTCACTAATGAGAGGACCCATTAAATTATGGTCTGCCCAAACAATATTTGGTTCTTATGAAGAATGAATTAGATCTGAGTATACTGACATGGAAAAATGTCAAAGTATATTAAGTTAAAAAAGCAAGTAATGAAACAGTATGCTCTGTGTGATTCCCTGTGAATATTTTTAGAAGTATTTTATACAAATTCAATTGCATATGCATAACTCACTTCTTGAAGGATATAAGGTAAACTGTGGAGTGTGGTTACTTGTGGCCAGGGCACACGGTTGGGGGGGTGGTTAGGTGACAGGGAGAGGAATTTTACCTTTCACAGTACACCGTTCTGCATAATGGAAGATTTTACTCTGACTATGTAGTATTTTTACAATAAATATCAAATGTAATCTTTGGGAACAATCTTGGCTAGGGCAGCAAATTATATGTAGGAGGCATGGGTGTTTGTGTTTGCCTGGAGGTTGAGGAAGCCAGATGGGGAAAGGAGCACATGTGACCACTCCAGAAAGGTCTTCTTTACCCCTCGCCATCCTAAGGAAGGCAGTGTCACAGAGCACCTTTGGTCAGCCCTGCGGCGAAATGCGAAAGTCGCCAAGGAACATTATTCCCATCTTTCCTCCTCTCTCTCTTTCCCTCCCCGCAGCTCTGCCCCGCTGTGGTGCGGTGCGGAGGGTGCTCCCTGGCACAGCTCTCCCTCTGGGCTCTATGGGGACCACCCTGGGTTTAGTACCAGCCTATCACTGTACCCCATGTCATACCTCCCTCTTGAAAAAAGAGATGGTACAGGAGAGTAGCCACTGTAACCGAGAAGACTGTGCCAGACTTCCTCCACAGGCTCCAGCATTAAGGTTCTGGGACGGAAAGAAGTATCCCATGTCTAATTACTATAAATGTGCTTGTGCATTAGAAAACATTCGAGTCGCTTAATGGCAACAGCTTGAGAGCTGCTCAGGGCGTATTAGGAAAAATGCAAAGTCTTTGATATAGCCTGCATTTGTTATCACTGTGGAGAGAAGAACTCTGGAGTTTGACAACTCTTGAATGTTTTTGTCTTTCCTCTTCCGACTTTCTTCTCTGGGAAGTCAGACATCCTTACAGCTGAGTTTTTGTAACTGCCTGAGGACGTGGCTGCTGAATATTCTTTCAGCCTTATTTCCCTTTCTTCTGTACCCAAAGCAGCATTTAGGCTCCAGTCAATGGTGTGGAAATGACAGGGTTCTCAGGACAAGATGGGACGCTAAGGACCTGGAGAGTTGCATTATCGATAGGTCACTGCACTCCAGGAAAAGCTGGATGGGAGTTCGGTTCGACTTTGCTGGTGAGGAGGGCACTCTGAGCTCACTGGACACAGAGGTAGCTGCCTCTTGCCCGCACAGTTTCTCAGCCCAGGTTATGTCCTTGAGAATTCACTCTCCATAGTTGCAGTAATGTGTTTGAGGTGCAGAGCTCCCAGTGGGTCGGGAAATGCCAGGGTGTGTAAGCCAGATGCCGTGTGTGTTACCAGGTGGGCATGTGTGTGGGCTTCGGATAGGAAAAACCGAGACCAAGTATATTATTTCTTCTTCGGGCTCTGGTTCAGGAGGCTTCCTGGTACAGATGACTTGTTGGGAAAGAGTAGACTCTTAGTCCCTCTCAGTGTGATGCTGTGATGTACCTGCATGGTCACACGGTAGAGTGTATGCGTGCATGCGTGCATGTGTGTGAGTGTGTGTGTGTGAAAGAGCGAGCGAGAGAGAGAGGAAAAGATGAGGAAAGAAAGTAATAGAACTAGAGATACTCTGAGAAAGAGAGAGGTCTAGGCTATATTGTGAATTAGTTCAGACAAATGAATTTTTGCCATGTATTTGTCAGGTAAGAGCTTATATTTTAAGCAAACACTATTAATTAGGGTCTAAGCTAACTACTGATAAAATTGTTTATATTTGTTTCTGGAATCAAAGTGTGTTCTCCAAACTATCTTTTTGGTAATTGTACTATTCTTGGTGACAGTAATGTTAGAGCCAAGGAATTCAGAGCATATGCCTCCCACCTATCCAGCCCCATCTCCCACCCTCCCTGGAATTTTCTCTGGGAAAGCACACCCAAGTGGAGCGCATGGAAGGTAAATGGCCAAAACCACATGTTTGGTAGTTGGTTTCGGGCTTGAGGTCTCAGTCCGTAGAACTCCAGGAAAGCCAACGGGACTGTATGAGCCCAATGTTTCATTTCCTCCCAGCTAGTTACTCCTAGTCCATCCCCTGCTAGCCGCCCAGGAATGGAAGGACAGGGAGAAGGAGAAGGAGAGACTGTGGGGAAATGTGATTGTTTCCAACCCGTTGCCTGAGATGGCCTCGAAGCTGCATCCGGAGGCGTGGGCTCAGGCTTGGCTGTTGTCAGAGAAGAGGGGATAGAGTGGAGCAGAGAACAAGCCTGGGGTCTACTTCGCATCCAGCTCCATGCCCGAGAGCCGGAAAGGAAAGTCACTGCCAAGTGCGCATTCCCCTTACGGTGACCCTGCTTCATGGTGAAAGTGGACCCTCTGTGTCGTGGAGTCTGACAACCAGACCAGTTCACGCGGTCGCCCCTGCTTCCAGTGGCATTTGCCTTGGGGAGGGGAAGAGGCCAGGAAGCTGTCTGTGAATAGGGTGGAGGGAGTAGAAGAAGGAGCCTCCAAAATTTGAGGCTTCTGGAGAAATTTAGACATCACCTTGTCCCATCCACACAGTTTGGAGATGAGGGAATTTATTTAAATCCAGCAGGACCAGCCTTAGAGCCAGCATCTTTGGCCTGGACAATTTGAGTTGTCCTAAACCACTTGTGTAAGTGAGAGGCACTGAGGTATCTCAGGAGATAGAGCTCAGTTGGGAAACCAGGTGCTGCACAGGTTCCCCACCCCCATCCCCAGGGGGACCCAGCATAAAAACAAATATCCCACCAACTGACAGACTCTCCCATGGTTTAATAATCATGACATTTGCTTTTATGACGCAAATTTATATGGATTTTTTTTTTCTTCTGAGCACGTCACCTAGTCCTGGACATTGTAGAGAAGAATCGTTAATAAATTAGAGCTAACGATGGGTATTTTTCTTTTTAGTTTGGGCTTCCAGGCCATGCCCATTGAAATAGGTAAGAAACCAACTACTGTATGAAGTGTGGTGGTTTTAAAAGCTTACAACCACCTTTTCACAAACTGCTGTCCTCATTTAGCAAGCCCATGGAGATGGAGAAGGTAGAATCTTCCCTACCTAATGATTGTTCTTCAGAATAATTTCCTAAAAATAGACCTAGTGCAGCCCAATTATTTCTACTCTTGTCTGAAAAGCAAGTGAAGTATCTGAAGCTTGCCTTCAGGAACCTGTCCCGGGGGTAGAATTGGTGTTGCTGTGATTCTCTTTATATTTCTGATTATGAAGCCTATTGATGAAAATACCCAGAGAAGGTTTTGGAGAAAAAGCCATGAGTTAGGAGAAGATGGTGAGTGAGTAAGGAAAACTTGCTCTCTGTAACCAGTTGAGCTGCAATTGGACCCAAGATACAAACACAACAAAATATAAGTGGAGACTCCAGAATTTCAGAGTTCTGTTAAAACCTGTTGATCTCTGGTTCAAGCAAAATCAAGATCTTGCTCATTCTTCATTTGACTGAGAAGTTGGGGTGCATCTTTATCTCAGTGATATAGAGAGACAATGAAGTTGTCCTCCTATATAACATTATCTGTTGCTGTAAACTGGTCAAAAAATTGTATCCCACACACCTACTCTTTCTAATTATGAGGGTCAAGATTTTACCCTCTGTTTAAGTCAACAGTGGGGCACGTGAAATGGTAGCATGAGAAATCTGAGATTTCGGATCCAGATTTGGGAGTTCAAGTTCTGAACACACCACCTCTTGGATAAGGGACCTTGGGCAAGTTATACCTTTTCTGCAAAGGCCTCCCCACTTTGAAAAAAGGGATCTGCTTTACCAACATCAAAGACTAGTTGTGATGATTA